TGATTTATTTATAAATAGTGATTAGGAAATAAGAGCTCTTGCGACAAAGACTCAATTCCTTTCTGTTAACTGTTTCTAGACACTTAGTTATATCCAGCTAAATACTTGTGAGATATCCATAACATTTTTTTCTCAAATTCTAAACAATGTTCGTGATTTCAGATTGCTTAAGTTTTTACGAAAAGGAAAAGGAACAAAACATGAAATCATGATTTTAAAATTCTTATATTTTATATTTAAGAGAATGGCTCTTAAATGCCAGGACATATTGGTGTTCACAGGTAGGTACACTGCTACCCATAAAGGATAAGACTTCAGAAACGACTTTATACAGTTAGGTAGGTTTATAAGCAATCAACATGTGTGTAGTAGAGCAGTTAGGTAGGTTTATAAGCAATCAACATGTATGTAGTTGAGCAGTTAGGTAGGTTCATAAGCAATCAACATGTATGTAGATGAGCATGTAGGTAGGTTTATAAGCAATCAACATGTGTGTAGTTGAGCAGTTAGGTAGGTTTATAAGCAATCAACATGTATGTAGTTGAGTAGTTAGGTAGGTTTATAAGCAATCACATGAATGTAGTTGAGTAGTTAGGTAGGTTTATAAGCAATCAACATGTATGTAGTTGAGTAGTTAGGTAGGTTTATAAGCAATCAATATGTATATAGTTGAGTAGTTAGGCAGGTTTATCAGCATCAACATGTATATAGTTGAGTAGTTAGGTAGGTTTATAAGCAATCGTGCAACATGTATGTAGTTAAGTAGTTATGTAGGTTTATAAGCAATCAACATGTATGTAGTTGAGTAGTTAGGTAGTTATTATACGCAATAAACATGTATGTGGTTGAGTAGTTATGTAGTTCAGTAAGCAATCAACATGTATGTAGTTGACTAGTTAGGTAGGTTTATAAGCAATCAACATGTATGTAGTTGAGTAGTTAGGTAGGTTGATAAGCAATAAACATCTATGTAGTTGAGTAGTTAGGCAGGTTTATAAGCAATCAACATGTATGTAGTTGAGTAGTTAGGTAGGTTTATAAGCAATCACATGTATTTAGTTGAGTAGATAGGTAGGTTTATAAGCAATCAACATGTATGTAGTTGAGTAGTTAGGTAGGTTTATAATATAAGCAATCAACATGTATGTAGTTGAGTAGTTAGGTAGGTTTATAAGCAATCACATGTATTTAGTTGAGTAGTTAGGTAGGTTTGTAAGCAATCATGCAACATGTATGTAGTTAAGTAGTTATGTAGGTTTATAAGCAATCAACATGTATGTAGTTGAGTAGTTAGGTAGGTTTATAAGCAATCAACATGTATGTAGTAGAGTAGTTAGGTAGGTTTTGAAAGCAATCAACATGTATGTAGTTGAGTAGTTAGATAGGATTTATAATCAATCAACATGTATGTAGTTGAGTACTTAGGTAGGTTTATAAGCAATCAACATGTATTTAGTTGAGTAGTTAGGTAGGTAGGTAGGTAAATGGGTAGGTAAGTAGAATTAGGTTGCTTCGTTGGTAGGTTAAGGTAGGTAGGTAGATAGGTAGGTAGGTAGGTAGGTAGGTTGCTAGGTAGGTAGGTAGGTAGGTAGATGTGTAGGTAGGTAGGTAGGTTAAGGTAGGTAGATAGAAGAATGATCTACACACCTTGAGTAAATCTTCGCAAATAGTTTCTATTTCCTCTCTCTTCTCTTGTTCTAGATCTATCCGACAAAGTACAGGGTCAAACCTAATAGTTGAGTAGTTAGGTAGTTATTATACGCAATCAACATGTATGTGGTTGAGTAGTTAGGTAGGTTTGTAAGCAATCAACATGTATGTAGTTGAGATGTTAGGTAGGTTTATAAGCAATCAATATGTATGTAGTTGAGTAGTTAGATAGGTTTATAAGCAATCAACATGTATGTTGTTGAGTAGTTAGGTAGGTTTATAAGCAATCAACATGTATGCAGTTGAGTAGTTAGGTAGGTTTATAAGCAATCAACAATTATATAGGTAACATGTAGGACGTAGGTAGGTAGGTAGGTAGGTAGAAGATTAATCTACACACCTTGAGTAAATCTTCGCAAATAGTTTCTATTTCCTCTCTCTTCTCTTGTTCTAGATCTATCCGACAAAGTACAGGGTCAAACCTAGATATAAGGAGATATATATCCAACCTAAAGATATAGATATATATCCAACCTAGAGATGTAGATATATCCAACCTAGATATATAGATATATATCCAACCTAGAGATGTAGATATATATCCAACCTAGAGATGTAGATATATATTCAACCTAGAGATGTAGATATATATTCAACCTAGAGTTAAAGATATATATCCAACCTAGAGAAATAAATATACACATACATACAATGTAGATATATAGATATACATATATATACAATATAGAGATATTGATATACACATATATACAACCTAGAGATATAGATATACACATACATACAATATAGAGATATAGATATACATATATATACAACCTAGAGATACTGATATACACATATATACAACCTAGAGATATTGATATACACATATATACAACCTAGAGATATTGATATACACATATATACAATATAGAGATATTAATATACACATATATACAACCTAGAGATATAGATATACACATATATATAACCTAGAGATATAGATATATATACACATATATACAACCTAGAGATACAGATATACACATATATACAACCTAGAGATATTGATAAACACATATATACAATATAGAGATATTGATATACACATATATACAATATAGAGATATAGATATACACATATATACAATATTGAGATATAGATATAATAAAATAACATGTTGAATCCCTTTAAAAGCTAAAATGTGTAAATAAACTAACCAACTGTTTGCTGCTGTTAGGTTTATATGCTCCTGGTAGCGTAATCTTTGCTCTCTGCGGGATTCCTTATTTTATAAAGTGCATCATGAGGGTCAGGAGTGTGGGGGGGAAGGGAGGTGCACAGGGGGAGCTGGGAGGAGGGCTAGTGGAAGGTGAGAGGGAGAAGGAAGGGTATGAGTGGTTAGTAAGGTTTAATTTAAATGTCCTGCATCCTAAAAGTACAAGTGGTTAGGAAGGTTTAACGCTCATGTCTCATGAGAGCTAAAAAGGTTTCTTGAGAGTAGATGGAAAGTTAAAAAGGATTGTATTTAGGGGTTTCTTAAGAGAAGGAGAAAAGTTTAAAAATTATATTTTTAGACATTTTGAGACAAAATATGAATATTTGAAGTTGCTAAACCCTAGACAAGCTTGGGAAGGTAAACAACTAAGGATTTCTAAGAGCAAGCAAGAGTTAGGAAGGATCTATTGTTTTCTAAGAGCAAAACTAGAGTTAAGAAGAATAAAATCTAAGGTTTTTTTACGAGAAAAACAAGAATTAGGAATGTTTGAACTTCAGTTTCTTTGGAGCAAAACAAGAGTTATGAAGAGTCAAAAGTTAAAACTAAAGTTTCCTTGAAGCGAGTCGAGGTTTAAAAAGGTCTTAAATCTTAAACTAAAAGCAAACCTAGAGTAAGGAAAGGTATAGAATAAGGTTTCCTCAGAGCGAAATAAACTAAGATTTCCTACAAAAAAAAACAATAGTTGGGAAGGATTGAACTAAAGTTTTAACTAAGATTTCCTAAGAAGAAGAATTGAAAACGATGGTTTTCTTAAAGTTGGGGGTGTTTAGGAAGGTTTTAAACTAAGGTTTCCTAAAAGTAGGGGGGGGGGAGCGGTTGTTAGGAAATTTTAAAACTAAGGTTTCCTAAGAGCTGGAGGTGGTTAGGAAGGTTTAAAACTAAGGTTTCCTAAGAGTAGGGGGTGGTACGGAAGGTTTAAAACTAAGGCTTCCTAAGAGTAGGAGATGGTTAGGAAGGTTTAAACTAATGTTTCCTAAAAGCTGTAGGTGGTTAGGAAGGTTTAAAACCAAGGTTTCCTAAGAGTAGGAGGTGGTTAGGTAGGTTTAAAACTAAGGTTTCCTAAGAGTAGGAGATGGTCAGGAAGGTTTAAACTAAGGTTTCCTAAGAGCTGGAGGTGGTGAGGAAGGTTTAAACTAAGGTTTCCTAAGAGCTGGAGGTGGTTAGGAAGGTTTAAACTATGGTTTCCTAAGATTAGGAGATGGTTAGGAAGGTTTAAACTAAGGTTTCCTAAGAGCTGGAGGGGTTCCAGTAGGACATGGTCGCAGTACAGGAGTCTCACAGATCTTAGGTAGTTCCTTGTAGTAGAACACTTTCCCCAAGGAGTTGTCTTCAGGATGACCAGCCTCCTGACCTCCTACTAGAGGATGCCCGGGGTCTTGACCTCCAACATCACAGGGGTTTACGAGGATATCCTCCTAAACATAGAGTATATTAATCTCACTAGAAGAGGAGTATTCTATTGGTGTCCTGGATCCCTTTGCCTTTTCTGCGAGTACTCTGTATGAACTGCTCTAGCTACAGAGTTACCCACATCGTTTTTTGGTTCTTTCTAAACATTTCAGGTTCTTTGGATTTTTTAAGGGCAAACCCGCGAATTAAACCTTGATAAAGGTCGTCATATTCAAAGAGTTTAAGGTCGCCATTAAAGGAACTGTAGTCGTGATTTCGAGTGACCCCTTCTTTATTAAAATAGTAACATGTAGGACGTAGGTAGGTAGGTAGGTAAAGGAACTGTAGTCGTGATTTCGAGTGACCCCTTCTTTATTAAAATAGATTAATACATTCTGATTTTTTATCTGATGCTGATTATTTTAATTGAAGTTTTCTATAAAAATGACAAGTACAGAAAGGAGTGAAATTGAGAGAATTAATATTTTTCAAAACAAAGATATGTTCCTCTTCATCTACTCGAATAATGAGCTAATGGACACCGTTATGGATCGTGAAGAAAATGCTTTAAATGGAGGGTCGCTTGAAATAACGTTAACAATCCTTTAAAAATTAAAATTTGAAAATTATGGCGGAAAAAATTAATTACTTGAAGAAGTGTCTGGAAGGGTATATTAAACTGATATATATATATAATATATCTACCTGGGTGTGTGTATGGAAGATGAATATATATCTGATATGGCGGAATCAAAGCTAGAGCTTGAAAGCGGTGAACTCAATCTCTTAAAAAATATATTCATTAGTATTTTTTGGACGCCACTCTTATTGAGTGTACAAAAGACAAGAATTCAGAGACGATTTTTTTTATTCATTCTTACGTTCATGGTTTTCTGCAAGTTTCAACCTGCGTTTACCTTTGCAATTTCAACAAATTTAACATCATTTAAAAGAAAGGTAAAAAAAAATTTTCCAGGTCGTCATTATATAGTCTTCTCATTTAAAGGTAATCCAGTATCTTTTTTTTTCTTTAACGAATATGGTATTTTTTATTCTAATGTGACTACAAATTGATGTTGATTTTCAATTTTTTTAAGTTTAAAGAGACTGTAAAGGAAAAATGAAAGGGGGTATAGGTGAGAATCTCAGAAGTTGATTGAAACATGTAAGAAGAGTTCTATCTGATGTTAGGCTGTAAAATCCGTCTTGTGTTTGTTGAGCACAGAAAATGCGTACACGGACACCAATATTTTAAATTATAACTCTTTGATCAAACAAAGCGTTTGAAGGTACTACTGTAAATCGGGCATTGCTATCTCTACACGTTGGGATACTTGAAATGACGCTAACAGTTCCTTTGCTATCTCTTCATGCAAAGATACTTGGAATAACGCTGATAGTTTCTTTGCTTTATCTACTTAAAATAACGCTAACCATCCCTTTAACTAAAATCGCTAATAATCATTTTTCATTAAAAGTCACTGAAAAAATCTTTTAACTATTTGATCTAAGCTTACCTTATTTGAATACTTAGCAAAGGTCCTGAAAAAAATATTTAAAATATAAAACATATTAAGATTAAACTGTTTACAAAATAAATATAAGATGAATATCACTGAAACTATAGGCAGCAGGGTATGAAGTTGTACAGTAGTCACATGCAGACTATAGTCGGAAAAACTGAACAGCTAGTCTGTACATTAAATGAATCCTACCCTTCTGGTGAAATCAATGCGGAACGAGGGTTCGTTTCAGAATAAAATCCAACCTTCGATTTTTGTCAGAAGAGATGGACCTATTAACTATTTTATTTTTTTTTTCGGGGGGGTTGTGGGGCTACACTGCCTTTATAATACAAAAACATATACGAGGACTAAAATATTTAAAATCTGCATTCTCTTTAAATTTGCATTTTCTGACATTGCAAAATAAGCCAAAGCGATTTTCAAACAGCTGTTTTTTCTTCGTTTGACCTAAATCTTAGATAAAAGAAAGGCAAACTTATGGAAAAAAATATTTGAAAATCTATCAGAACCCGCAGATATTTTCGGAGGCAACAGAAAGCTAAAAATCCTCGGATAAACACGTGTATTGTGTATTGTGCATTGTACACATATTTAAACATTTTCATACTTTTAAACAGTTTAAATTTATATATATATATATATATATTTCAGTTTTTAACTTCACATTTTTATTAAAAAAAGAATTATACTAAACATAATGTTTCATGTCTATCATGACGATCCTCAGTAGCTACAATTCTTTGAACAACATATATATATTTATAAGTCATTAGCCGAAAGAAAATGACAAGATTATCAAACAATACAAAATAATATTAGGTCGCAACTTTTGTAACGCACTAATCCGTAGTTTCTGTGCTCTAACGGATTAATATAATTCCCTCTGAAAGATCTGGGGATTAAACGAAAGCACTTTGCTTCAAATCAAAATGTTTCAAATGATATTTTTAACCTTGTTGTGTAGATAATTTCTATTACATAAAAAAAGTGTTGACATCTGGATAATACGAATTCTAATTTGAATAAACGTTTAAATTACCTTTTCTTCTCGATTGAACTAGTTTTTAATTCCGAGTTTCCTCTTCTCCTACAAGAAATAAGTTGTTAATGTTTGCAACTTACAAATTGAACAGATAGGACAAAAGAAGTTTACAGATAGCACAGATAGGACTAGAGAAGTTTACAAATTGCACAGATAGGATAAGTGAAGTTTACAGATAGCACAGATAGGACTAGAGAAGTTTACAAATTGCACAGATAGGATAAGTGAAGTTTACAGATAGCACAGATAGGACTAGAGAAGTTTACAGATTGCACAGACAGGACGAGAGAAGTTTACAGAGTAAACACATATAGGACAAGAGAAGTAGTCCTGCTCTATATTTAAGGGATAGGTTCAACGTAATTTAGATAACCCTACCATGTTTATAGACATTTAATACTCGACAAAAATACCATTAAATCGGAATTTGAGAAAATTAATGTCGACAACTTGTAGATCTATCTGAAAATTAATAATAATAATAATAATAATAATAATGATAATTAATAATGTTCGTGATTAGTTTTTCTGTAAAATTAAAGCACATTGTTTAGGTGTGCATCCCTTATAGCACAAAGATCCAGAAAGTATGGAAAATTATGTGTGTATTTTCACGATCGGGTGGAATATTTTTTTTGTAGCCTGTAAGTTTTAGAACTCCAATTTATTAATAGCCTTTATTTTTTAAGGGGGTAATAAGCACAAAACCCAAGAGATTTTTTCATGAGAGCTTTCATATTTTGGTTCTCTTGGGGATATAAGTCACTTTTGTAGCGAAGCCACAATTGAAAATATAATCAGTTTCCAAAAACAAAAACATGGATATCTAATACTTGATTAAGCAATGGTTGTATGGGTACCTTTTAAATTGTACACACCACTCTGCAAATGGAAGGTTACTTAAGATTATGTTTATAAATCACCTTTGGTATTTTCTTTTTAAATTCTTTTTTACTGTATGCTTAAATTAAATCTTGAGGTTTACTATTAACGGAGTGTTCATTGTTTTCTTGTTTAGTATCAAGGGATTGTTCATTGCTTTCTAGTTTAGTATCAAAGGATTGTTCATTGTTTTGTAGTTTAGTATCAAGGGATTGTTCATTGTTTTCTAGTTTAGTATCAAAGGATTGTTCATTGTTTTATAGTTTATTATCAAGGGAGTGTTTATTGTTTTCTAGTTTATTATCAAGGGAATGTTCATTGCTTTCTATTTTACTATCAAGGGAGTGTTCATTGTTTTCTATTTTACTATCAAGGGAGTGTTCATTGTTTTCTATTTTACTATCAAGGGATTGTTTATTGTTTTATAGTTTAGTATCAAGGGATTGTTTATTGTTTTATAGTTTAGTAGTAAAGGATTGTTCATTGTTTTATAGTTTAGTATGAAGGGATTGTTTATTGTTTTCTAGTTTAGTATCAAAGGATTGTTCATTGTTTTAAAGTTTAGTTTCAAGGAATTGTTCAAATTAAATATTCATTTCATAGTTTTGGAAACTGATTATTTTGATTTGCGGTTTTCCAATAAGTGACTTAATTTTGCGCATTACTTGTTTCAGAAACAACAAAGAAATAGATCAAAGTAAACACTTTTCAAGCTTTCTTCCTAAACATACGTTAAAGTGAACCTCCATGAACATATTGAAATGCCTAATTTACATTGGTTCACTTAAAGCTTTGGTTTATCAACCATGAATTAGATATCATTGTTTATAATTTTGAAAAATTTAATATTTTCAAATGTGATTTCGCTACAAAGTAACTTGAACATTTCTACGGCAGGAAAGCTATTTGAATTTTTAGAAACGAGAATATCTTCCACATCATCGATCACATAAAGGTTTTAAGATACCGTTGTGAACCTGGCCTTGCCATCTTTTCACGGAAATTCACTTGAAATTACGCGAACAGTCCCTTTAAATGGAGAACAAACATCAAAGGTTTAAACAATGAATAATGCTTCAAGGTAAATCTATATTTAGAATTTTTATAGGTAATAAACTTGTGCTCATACATTTAGAAGTCAGAATTCAAAGAGTTTGGACTAAACTATAAATTCATTTACTATTTGGTTTATACTTAATAAAAAAATAAGACATTCATATATATGTGCGTACAGCCGGCCAAACGACTGGACCGATTGGGCTGAAATTTCTTTTGGACACTCATGGGTAGCCGGGGGTGTCTTAGGCTAAAGAAAATTCAAAATTTTTTTTTAATTATTTGTTTCAACATTTTTTTCAAATTTTTTATCCCTCGGGAAACACCGGGCCCTTCAGCTAGTACTTCATAATTGACATTGTTTTGAGGCCCTTTTTTAGCCATCTGAAAATACTTTTTCATTTAAAATGCTTCCGCTGCCAAAGAGTAAAAAAAAGAAAATTTATGTTCAATAGGTAAAAGTCAGAATTAGACCTAACAGTTATATCAGCGTGATTGGCTTAACTATTATTTTGACTTCAAAATTAATGCAAAAAGTATTAAAATTTTAAAAGTTATTACTTAAATAATTAATGAAAAAAAACTAAATATAAAATGATAACTGTCTATTACAACTGAAATTATGAAATTATTAAATCCTTAGAAAAAATCTTAAACTCGGGGATGAGGGTGGGGGAAATTTACAGGAAAACCCCAGTCGGGGATGAGGGGGGGATTTACAGGAAAACCCAAGTCGGGGATGAGGGGGGGGATTTGACGGGAGTTTTTGCCACATTAAATTTTCAAATCCCTATATCTTTAAACCTAATATCCTAAAGGTTTAAGCTTTTTAAATTTCAAATTTAGATTGTTTTATGTAACATAAATCATAATTTAAAATATCAAAAGTCTACGACATTGGGTTGCAAAGATGTAGTAATTTAAAAATTTGAGATTGTTGCAAAGACTTAATTCATTTATTGTAAAATTTCACACCAAAGCTTAAACATCTGTTTAATCTATGTTTCAAGAAAGCATCGAATTTAAGATGATAACCTTGGAAAACAATACTTTTTTTCAATCATCACAAAGAAAAGTTTGTTTTTTAAAATAGTATAATTTTTAAGATTTAGCATTTTAATCATACACAATATTCGATATTCTTGGTTGCAGAAACAAATTTTACGGAGATATAGAGAGAACTAATCAAATAATTTTCATATTTGAAAGGTCTCTCTGTCACGAAACAATTTAAAACTTAAAAACATTTCATTCCATTTTAGCAGATTTTTAATCGTTTTATAACTATCATTTCTTGTATAATTATGTTTAATTATTATGTAGAATTAACAATGGAGTAGAATTAACTCTGGTACAGGATTATCTCTGGTGTCGGATAATCTCTGGTATAGGAATAACTCTGGAATAGGATTATCTCTGGAATAGGATTAACTCTGGCATAGGATTGACTCTGGTATAGGATTAATTCTGGTATTGGATTAACAATTGTGTAGGATTAACTCTATTGTAGGAGTAACTCTTGCTTACGATTAACTCTGGTCTAGTATTAACTGTGGTTTAGAATTGACTCTGGTATAGGATTAACTCTTGTGTAGGATTAACTCTGGAATATGATAGACTCCGGTTTAGAGTTAACTCTGGTATAATATTAACTCTTTAGTATAAAAGATTAACTTTTCTGGCATAAAATTAAATCTTTTTAAGTAATATCTCAGATTGACTCTGGTTTAAGATTAACTCTGATAAGGGATTAACTGTGATAAGGGATTAACTCTGATGAAGGATTAACTCTGATTTTGGATTATCCTGGAATAGAAGTAACTCTTATTTAGAATGATGTAGGATTAGACACGACTGTTTACCTCTGAGACATGAAGACCAGAAGATTTAGACTTTTTCCCGGATTTCTCCATGAGCGGACGATGCAGCAGGTTCCCTTGAACATATGTTTTTACATGACGTCACTACATAAAGGGCGGGAATAAAATTCAAATTATATCAGAGTAACTTTTTGACTAAAAAAAGAAGGTTTAACAACTTAAATACCCGTCCCTGAATAAACTACCCTTAAAAACTTCATCTCGATATCTAATGTGGGCACTTTTAAATTTCAGGATATTTCACAGGATATCGCAAGGAATTAAATTAATCCGCACCTTTCTACGATCTATTACGATGGAGAGCTTTGGTTGATCAGAAGTTATGACTTTAGGTTGCATTGTAACTTTATATATATGTAGTAAGAAATTCGTTTCCGAAAAATCCGAAAGAATACAAAAAGATACGATGCTTACTGAATACTGACTCAGTAAAAATGAATGAAAAAAATCAATTACTCACTTACTTCAACCTGTTCCTTGTAAACTACTAACACATGTTTTCCATCATTTTCTGGAAAAAAGTGCCCAATTACATATTTAAGCCAAATAGCTTACAGAAGTATTAAGAACTAAATGTACGTATAAAGCAAAACTAGTTGTACAGATGTAAAAGAGACCAAGTGTACAGCAGTAAATGTACATGATCAATTGTACAACCGTGTACAGCAGTGTATATACAGAACCAAGTGTACAGCAGTGTAAGTGCAGGACCAAGTGTACATCTGTGTATGTACAGGACTGAGTGTACAGCAGTTTAAGTACAGGACCAGGTGTACAGTAGTATAAGTGTACAGTAGTATATGTAAAGGGCCAAGTGTACAGCAGTGTAATTACAGGACAAAGTGTACATCAGTGTATGTACAGGACCAAGTGTGAAGCAGTGTAAGTACAGGACCAAGTGTACAGCAGTGTATGTATAGGACCAAGTGTACAGCAGTTTAAGTACAGAACAAAGTGTACAGCAGTGTAAGTAAAGGACCTAGTGTACAGCAGTGTAAGTG